TCAAATGGTCAAATGTGTAATACTCTGCATCATGGAACATGCAAAATGTTACTGGAATTTGGAATTTTATTAAGTTTTGAAAGTATTCAAATAATTTTTTCTCTGTAAAACATCAAAACAAAATGTTTTGTAATCTTTTTTTACGATAGGTGATGCCAAACTACCACATTGTTAAATACTTATTTCAACAAGTGCATGATATATACAAGTGGTGAGTGCATAATAAATACAAGGGGGGTGAATAAATGTATTTTATTTGTGATATTTGATGGTATTTTTTTCTGTAGTTAGCTGGATTAAAAGGATGACAACACTTAAACACTATTCATGCATCACCTTTTATGATGTGGTTTGCCCATCATGATGTTGAAAACATTGTGATAGTTTAAAACCATCTATATCTGTTTTTGTTGGTGTTCATCTTAAGGCATTTACAAAACAAATCTTTTTTCCCCCTCTTTTTACAGTAAGTACTGTTTGAAAATACCCCTATTTTTATGTTGTTTGGTGAAAAAGGGCAACATTTAAATGGACTTGTTCATACATCAATGTCAGCATAAATTTATCTTAATGAAAGAAAACGTTTGCTCTACTGGCATGCGAGCAGTTCCCGTACAAAAATCGTAGTTACTTAAACATTATTTTTTATTACGCTCACTCACCAAAATTTGAATGTAACACATCAATATTCGGCTCGTCACACAAATCATGAAAATTCCATCATGTTCTTAACATAGAATAACCCTTAGTTATGAGGCCTCATATAGGGTACAGAAATTATCCATTATTTTGTATGAAGAGAAGTAGTTCCCGTACATAAAATTTAACCCATTATAATTATACAATTTTATTATATCGGACATATTTTTCATTTATAATTGTTGAACAGACCATTTTCTAAGAGATAAATAGATGTAATTCAGGAAATAGAAAGTAGACTAAACGCGTGTATCTATTACCCGGTACCGTTACCCCCAACGCATTCACATGCGATGGCATGCTTGTATGCATGATATTTTACGCATCAAAGTCATAAAATTATTTTATATAGTAATATTGGTCAAAATTCTGATAATTAAACAAATTTTCATCACATTGCCTTCTTATCTGTAAACAGGTGGTATTAGTGGAAAACCCTTTAACATGCCTCACGTGTAAGTATGTTTGCGCATGCGCGCAAGGACGGAATCCCCCAGATAAAACAAGGTCACGTTTTGACAACGCACAGGTGAAAGTGATTTAAAATGAGACTTTTTATACGTACTGCCGAACTGACACTTAGAGTTTGTCTCGTTTATGTATCTGCTTGATTTGAAATGAATTTTTGAAGAATGCATGTAAAAATCAAGCGTTTAAATGAAAAATACGGGTACTGCTTCTGTACGGGAACTGCTCGCATGCCAGTATAGTTTTCAATGAACAATGATGGTATAACTTTAACTTGTCATGTATGTTTTACGTATTTTTAATATTTTCTGAATATACATTGTTTTAATTTTAATCAGTCTTGTATTTAACATTCATTATGTAATAATTGAATCACTGCATACACATGTGTTTACTGTTATATTATATTTTTCAAAACCATTATGTTTATTACACCATATCATCAAGGCATTGCTCCACATTGTACAAGGTTTTTATGAAAACAAATATTTTTTTCATATTTTGTGTTTTATAGTTCTTGTTTTAATATATAATATATGTACGGCAAGTAAGTAGTTTACGAGTATATAAAGGTGAACCATTTCTAGTTATTATTGTCTATTCTGTCCTTTGATGACATCCGTCAAAACCTACTTGCAAATGTTAGGTCTAAAGGAGGGCGGACCATCAGTTCTTTATAATATCAGACCTGTATAATGGTAACCAATAATCTGTATTAGTTAGATTTGTCTAGAAAATAACATGGAAAAAAGCAAAAAGAAAACCACTGATTTAATATGGTCAAGGTAATATTTTATTGATAAAAGATGATTTTTTGTTTAAGTAACATTTGTGTTGGGCTTTTCTGTAGGATAAGTTTAAAAGTTCTTTCTAATGCTCATTGGCAATGCTTTAATGTGGTATATTGAATTAACTTGAGTCAGTCAGCATTGAACTTAAACACTGTTAGTTTTAAGTAACAAAGTATGTACAAAATTTTTGTTGAAAATACTCGTTACACCTACTGGAACATTACTACAAGATTAATGAATTGAAACGTTGTTTTCTTTTCCTCAATTTCTGACATATGTATTTGAAGCAAGAATTCAACATTGTTTCTTTATTCCATGTTTGTTTCTTGATAAGTCTTAGTCAAAATTAAAGTCTAGATTTAAGAAATTAAGCTTTTGCTATTTTAGAATATGTTCATCAAGAAATTTCTTTTCCATTAGCCATTTCTCAGAGAGTTTAGTTGTTTTAAAAGCCAGATATACTCAACATTTTATCGTATCATACATTATAGTACATAAATATATACATTATGTTACCATGGCATCTCAGAGGTTTGTTTACATTACATATTGATATTATTTGATTGTTTTGATTGATTCTATATGTATATATGATTTTAATTTGTAATGTTTTGCTGAATATTCTTTTATATGTATATAAACAGCTTTCATTATGAATTTATGATATTACTTCATGCATTTCTTTACAAATTAAAAAAAAATAAAATAATCAGTTGAACATGAAATAAGACATGTTATAATGATGATGGCATGAAATTTACCCCCAAAAATGGCATTCTAGTAATTCATATATTCTTATGCAAAAATTTCACAACTTAATAATCAATAATAATATAAAAGCTTTCAATGGTGTTTCTTGCCTTAATTGAAACGTGCCATGTAACTTTAACAATGCTGTATGTGACTGAGATACAAAATAAAAGAAAATTAGCGAAAAAGTGGTATAATATGTATTTTGAGGATGTTCAGTTCTGTCTGCCACCTTGATTAGTTTATGCATTATTACATAAAATCTACAGAGACCATTAGGTGATCCACCTTTTGAAAGTTTGAACTAATACAAAATAGAAATAGAATTCCTTTAAGATGCTTTGAAACACTGCAACAAATTTTTGATACGAAATAATGATACCTTAAACTTGTTGAAATGATACTAAAGACTATGCTTACTTTTACTTACTGTACTACATACCTGTAAGTTTTATCCTATGCCACAAGTGATAACATATTTTTATTCTCTTAACATGTTATAATGGGTATGCAAAAACATGTCTTAACATAAGTAAATAAAGTTATCTTATCTTGAATGCATGTTAATATATATACGGGAAGTATCTTATTCAATTTACTGAACTGTATATATTGATTGACTATTATATCTATTTATTTGTTATGGCCATATTAATAATAAATTGTTAAACTGTATAGCTTGTTTATTTTTAGCTCATTTCAGCACAAAGAAAGTGCTCCTAGGTTAGCTTTTGTGGTAACAGCGTTCTCTTGTTCGTCGCCCAGTGTTATCCACAACATCTCCTAAACCACTTGATGGATTTTGACCAAACTTCACAGGAATTATCCTTAGGTAGTCCTCTAGAAAAATTGATTATATAAGGTTCCAGTCTGATGCATAAAATGTCTCTTAAAAATCACAAAAACCACAAAAACCACAATGCTCAGAGCTAAATATTTGGCATGGAACATCACCTTGTGGTCCTCTTTAAAAGTTATATATAATTCATTCCCATTCAAGGAGGTACTTGACCGAGTTGTTAAGGTCATTAACTTCGAGCCACTTGCCCCTCACTGCTGCAGGTTCAAATCCGATCCGGCACTTTAGACACTTTCATATGAAGAAGTTATTCAGCTAGCTTATAGAACGTCGGTGGTTCTACTCGGGTGCTCGCTCGTGCCTAAAATAATATAGCTTTGTCATTTTGCATTTAGCTTATGGTCCTCTATATACTGTTTCCATGGGATCAAAATTGTCCCTGCCTCAGGGGTCACTTAGTTATATGGACTTGTATAGGAAAATACTCGAGTCTCCTTTTGTGAGACTACAATGCCAAAATCTAAGACAGTTGGCATGTGGCATCACCTGCTAGATCTCTATATGAGTCGTGCCCCTGAGGTGAAAAATGGCAACGCCCTGGAGGTCACTTAGTTTACATATTCTTGTATGATAATAGTAAAAATGTTTTTTTTTAAAATTCTTCTCTGAAAGTACAATGCCCAGAGTTTTGATGTTTGACATGTAGCATTACCTTGTGGTCCTCTACAAAAGTTTTATAAATCATGCCCTAATATTTGTCTTGGCCAGGATGTCCCTTGGTTTATGTAGACTTTGATATGCCTGAGACAAATTCTTTATAGCCAATTACACATTGATAATTGGAGGTAGGGAACCAGGGAACATCACATCTGTAATGGACTGCTGCACTGTCTGTGACAAGCTCTTATTTACTTAAATCTTCAAACAAAACCATAGACAAACTTTGACTGTATTTGACCCTTTGTGAACTTAGAAATTTTCTTGTGAAAGTTTTACATCCATGATTTTCTTTTTTCACGCATTACGTGAAAATTGTTCGAGAACTCTGCCTTACTGACAGAACTTGTTTTCTATGCTTGTTAAAATATCTTTTTATGACGCAAGATCATGTTTTGTTTAATTGTGTATTACACGTTTTGCTAAGAAAGGATCAAATGTTTATAAAATAAACAGATTTGAAAAATACTTTTTTTCCCATTAATGAAATGTATTTTCATGCGTTGATTAAGGAACCCAGTCATTTATTAACAAATAACAAATATATCTGGAGTGCATCTACATGCGTTTGAATTTCTGAATATTATATATATGTATAACAAGTTCATTATTAAAAATTTTCATAGTTTTACAACAAGACTTCTTATCACAATAATGTTGACACGGCATGTAAAATCTGACAAGATAGCAGGAACTATTAAGATATAAAGGAGGCATTATCAGTAACATAGCTCAGTTTTTTCCATTTTTTAATTGTGTGTAAACCTCTCGAAATGATGATTTATTGCATATCGTTTGTGTGCTTTATTTCACTCACTGCTTTTGGAGAAAAATTACAAGAACAACAAAATCTGCAGTCGATTTGGAAAGAGTTGGAAAAATTGAAAGAGATTGATTTTCTGAAAGAACGTACACTGGCATTGGAAAATGAGGTTAAGGGATTAAAACTCCAAAATTACAACCTTAACCAAAAGGTTGAAACGCTGGAAAGACGATGTGCGGTGCACTCTGTAGAGGTAATCATAATGGCTTATCAAAATGTTTACATTAATTCTCCTAATTTAACTCTATCTGAAACACTTATATATATTTTTGTATTAAGTACTATTTTACTAGTTTGAACTTATATACAGACTAATACCGAAAGATTACGATTTTAAAGTAGACTTTTAGTGAATGGTGTGGCGTAATTATATGGACCTCTTGTCATTTCAAAGGTTCATCAAAGGTTTTAATCAATGATGACTACCGTTCACGTAGGCCGAAAACCTCGATTACCAAGCCAAATATTGCTGCTATAAAGATTATAGTAGAGAATGAGTAAAGGATATGTACTAGCATATCAGATGGCAGTATATAATAAGGCTGTTTGCTGTCTTCGGTAAGTTTATGACTGAATTTTACTTTATGTTTTGATGTTTTACTGGAAACACCTAGTGAGCCGGGAGCCCACATATGCACTCTTCCAACCTATAACACGTGCAAGGAGCAATTTATTGCCATTTATGCAAACACTACTGTACAGTTTGACGAGGGGACGCCACTTTTGCCTAATTTTGGTTAAAACACGTTCAAATGTAAGCAAAACGACTCCTATGTAGACCAGCATCACATCGTATGTATAAAAAAGGCCATAACAATTCTCAAATTTTCTAAAATATGGTTGATTTGTGCAAGTATCATACATATGATGTGATACTTGTGTACTTAAGGGCCGTTTTGCACACATTTGTACGTGTTTTAAAAAGTGGCGCCCCTCGTCAAACTGTACGGAAGTGTTTGCATAAATGTCAATAAATTGTACCGTGTGCATATAATAATTTGGAAGAGTGCATATGTGGGCACCCGCCGCACTAGGTGTTTCCAGTAAAACATTAAAACATTAAATAAAATTCAGTCATAAACTTACCAACAACAGCAACGGGCAAATTTTATTCACCGCTTCTGCGACGAATTCTCCACCGCCGCTTCTTCGAAAGATAAGGCCAGTGTGTATACTCTTGCATACGCAGTTTTCATGCAAGAATATTTGTTTACCGGTATCCCCACTGGTTTTTGTTTTATATCAACAAAATGTTCGAAACAGTATGTTTTGTCACTAAATCATAAATATAACTTTTCCTCCATATAAAAATCTTTTAATTAAATAGTGTTTGTATTCGTATTTCAATTTGACCGTATAAATTTTCAGGATGTTGAAAGAACAGAAAAAACTGGTACCATGGCCAACACGACAAACAATCACAGCTTTTCTTTCAACAAGACTTTTGAATCAAGGAAACGAACTTCTAAACTAAATCGCCAGAGAAGTATTCTACCAAGTAAATACAATTACGTAAATTCCCATACGTGTTATTCGGCTACATGCATAACAAAAACATAGTAGACTTATTTCACATGAAATATCTAATTAATCTGGTTCCCTGACACCATTTAGAACGGAAAGTAGTGTAAAGAGAATGAACTTTAGACTAAATACTATTCGGCTTGTGTTTGGAAAGTCAGTGGTTCTGGAAGAAACACTCGGATGTTTTTTTCCCGCCTATATCATCTTTTTCGTCACGCGGGGCGTTATCTGTGACAGGGTCGCGCGTTATCTAACTATTCCCATCACCAAACAGAAGAAAGAGCTTGAAATATAATATATTTGACAATAATTAGATAATACATGTATATTTCAATATATATGCGACGCTACAATAGCTGATTATGATATAACAAATCTCTTTCTACATAAATTATTGATCTGTTTGGCCAGACATCCAGACTAACCCTAAACCCTGCATTTGAAATGTTTTCTATTTTCAGGACAGGTCTCCATCCAAACACATATAGCGTTTACAGCAGGAGTATCGGTTCTAAATCTTCATAATTTAGGTATAAATCAAGCTATTATATTTGATCATGTCATCACAAACATTGGCAATGCTTACCATCCACATACTGGGACTTTTATTGTCCCGGTTAAAGGCGCATATGCTATAACGCTAACCATGACTGTTGAACCTAACAAACTTCAATGGCTTGAGTTAATTGTTGACGGTGGTTCCACATACTATATATCTGCTGGCCAAGCGGATGCTAGGAACTACGCTTCTACAACAAAACAATGGATCCTAGAGCTGCATACCGGATCAGAAGTGTGGGTCAGGAAGAAAGGTGCTGCCCACACTGACCTCAACGGATTTATGAATACAATCATATCTGGCTATCTCTTGTTCCAGACGTAACAATTTATTACATGTATTAAACTGGGTTTTACACGGTAATACAACATATTTTCTGATGCCGATCTGTTGTTTGTTTACTTTTAGAAATAGTATAGGACGATCCAGCGATATGTTTATATAAAAAACTGTGTATGTAGTAGCTAATTAGTATACAAATTATGTACTTACGGGGAGCATTGCTGTCATTGGTGTAAGGAAGTAATGAAAAAGCAATTAATTGTAACCGAAGAATATCAATTTTTGATTAAATTTGCGCTTTTCAAGTACTGACATAATGACTTAGCTTCCTTAATATTTTATCATTCAAAAACAAACATGTACAATGTTTATAGGTGTACAAATTTACCTATATCTGATAAAATAATGTATATTTTTTCAAAATTTCTATTACCGATTCTTCGGTGTACTGTCCACATTGTAATGTTTCTTTGGCACCAACTAAGACTCTACTTGTCATCTGACATCTTCTGAATTATTGTAAAAGTTGCATATATGATATAAGGTTATATTATGACGTTTTTAATGAGTTGTTACGTTATTATGATTTTTAATATACCATTTACCATTATGATATTTACCTTAAGTCTGGTGCAATAAGTTATATTTCTACGTGAAAAGGTCTATCATTTTCCGTGTTTGACACTCAGGACAAAGTATTAAATACCATATTCCTGTTTAGATAGAAATCTCGTAATTTGTCGATCTGCCTAGCCTTTATCTGCTGCATAAAAATTTATTTTATTATTCAATCTTTAGTTCTGAACGATGATTTTTAATATGTACACATTTGTGATGATTTAACACATGCTTGTGCAAAATATCTGGGTAACCTTCTGATATGATAACCACTGAAGTTATTCAATTTGATCTTCACTTATACCTTTGCGATTCTATCATAAGATATACGACTCTTTTGTTAAATTAGAAATTTCTTGTGAAAGTTTTGAATGCAAGTTCTTTCTTTTCAACGAATTCACTTTTATTAAGTAATGCATATAAAATGATTATACTCTATTCTGTTTTCTCTGCCATATATATAAATTTTCTCAAAATTGTAGCTACATTACACAGATAATTAAATTTTGGATGATCAGAGGTTCAATTATTTCCAATGTATTGTCCACTCGAAATAAAGCAGGGTCAAATGCAAATTCTAAAAATTCGCATGGTGAGTTTTTTGAGTCTTTGTTTATAAAATTAAAAAAAACAAACTATTAAATCATTTATTTCATATACTATAAGTACTATATATGGGGTATGACATGCCTCTCATAAAAGTCACTGGAACGTGACGATATTAAACGTCACGAAAAAGTCCTAAAGCAATAAAAAAATCCCAGTATATTTGAGATCTTTGGACAAACAAAGTAAATGGCAAATATGTTATTCTTACTAATCCAAAATTTTATCGTTACTATAATATCAATGTTATTCTTGCTTTTCTGAATTATTTCTTCGTTTTCTGTAAGTACATAATGCTCCCCATCCAATTGGACAATTCCATATGTTTTATTTTATCATACAATCATCGTATAGTCTATTTAAAGGTTAAATTATCCGGTCAGTTATAGCCCGTTTCAAAAACAAAGCAAAAAAACGTATTGTTGTTAATTTTTATAGGTCACGACAATCAGTCTCTTAAAAGCCGACATAATGTGTGCCCCCGAGTATAAATCAGATTGCCGACAGTTTTGATGTTCCTTCTCTTTCGTACCATAATTAAAAATAAAAAAACACGTTTCCAGCCCTCACAATATTAAATTCCAGAAAAAAGTAACCAATGTACACAAGTACCTGAATATGACTTTATAGATCGTTATCTCTTTCCCCGTCGTCGCTCGAAAAAATGAACCAATCAACACAGACAGTGAGTTCAGTAAAAAATACCTACCCCGAGTTTACGCACTGTGCATGCATTGGTATACGATTTGACTGTGACACGTTTTCAATAGTAAAGTCTCCAAACTGTAATGCAAGTAAATGTTTATTTCTAACAAGAAGTACAACCTATCAAATACATACCTTTAAACGGTAAAAATCTTCGTTCATGCACCATACATGCATGTTTTTTATACGAGTATTCCATATCCTTGAAAACTAACGAGCCAGCTACTGAGCAATTTTACTTATATTTAGGAAATGACTTCGAAAAACTAGAATAATCGTGTGAGATTTTATTGCACTCGAAAATATGCCGTTCTCGAAAGTAATCCACTAATCGTATTTAATCTTAATATATACATAAAAATAACACGAACAGGAAAACAATTTAAAAGTTTTAGAGCAATTACGTAGCATACATACAAATAAGCAGTTGGTTATGATATAGTTTAAAGCTAATGATATCATAAACATACTACAGGGTTACGGCAAGAAGATCATTTATTATACAGAATTGTTACCTTGCTTTAAATAGTGTATATAACTTTCCCAAAAGAGCCATTTGACTTGAACTTTGTTTCATGCTATGCAAAACACACATACACACAAACTGGCATATAAACAAATTAGGTGTTGATAGTTTTCTGGTCTGTCGACCTCATTGACTAGTTTATTTATTATTATGGAAGAACAATAAGAATAATACGAAACGGTCTGCGATTTTTTAATTTTTCTTTTAGGAGACCACCAATAATTTCAAGAGTTATCAATAAGAAAAAAACTGCTTAGTTTGACCTTAATGTTTAATCCGCGGTTAAGTCATTACTTATTGTTATAGTCTGAAACGTTAAGATAAAACACAAGCCTTATCATAGAAATATATAAACAGATGTAATACATTTGAAATATCGTTTTTTTATGCGAAAATTAAAATCCAAACCGTTTAATTACATAATGATTCAAGACTAATAAGTTCATTATTTTCACTTTTCAAATGATTAAATGATGTTTTATAATTATTGACCTAAATCATAGACATTAAAACCTCTTATCAGATAATTATGACATAGAGGTTAAAAAATTGCCATGATTGCAGACCGTATTAAGCTAATAAAGAAACTTTTATCACTTACAAATACTTTATTCATTTAAAAAAAATCACAAAATGGTGATTTCGTACATCTTGCTTTTTTGTTTGATTTCACAAAAAGTTTTTGGAGAAGATTTACACAATAGGCAAAATCTGCAGTCAATTTTAAAAGAAATCGATATTTAAAAGAACGTACACTGGCATTGGAAAAGCAGAATAAACAACTTAACGAAAAAATTGAAAAGCTGGAAAGTTGGTGTGCTGAGAAAACTGAAGAGGTAATCATTTTGTATTTGGCTAGTTGGCATTCAATAACATATAAATATTTTTGGTTAAACCGATCGAACTTAAATACCATTGAGATAGTGTTTACATTATCTGATTGTATTGTATATATTCTCAGGATGACGTGAGAACAGCGAATTCCGGAACGTTGGTAAATTTAAATACAACGAATACTCACAACTTTGCCTTTAAATCATCATCTGAATCAACAAACGAATTTTCTCACTGGCAAACACTTACCAAAAGCAAAACCAGCCACTTAGGGCTGCGTACATTAGGTAATTAACTTATTGGTTGACACATCACTTCTATTGAATATAGACAAAGACATTGATTTTGTCATGATTTAGAGCTCTTCAGCATATGTACAAAAAGTGTAGGACAAACACTGGATGACATTTTTCACAAAAAATCGCCAAAAAGTTGTTATTTAGCATTTTATTATCACAATTGATTGTCAAACACTTTATTCAATTCTTTAACTACGAAAGGTAATAAATGTGATTCATTATATTTTTAAAGTTGAAACTTATTTTATGTAAGGCTTCTTCTTGATAATAATTGTTAGTGCTAAGATATGAACAAAAATTGATTTAATTTGTTCTTACATTCTTTTTTACATTTAATGGGAATGAAATAAAAAGCAGTTTGTTCTTGATTTTTGCATTTTAATTTTAATTTCATTTTCAGGACAGCGGTCCTCTCAACCTCATGTAGCGTTTACAGCAGGAGTATTGCCTAAAAATCTTCATAATTTAGGTGATCATCAAACTATCATATTTGATCGTGTCATCACAAACATTGGCAATGCTTACCATCGACATACTGGGATTTTTTCCGTCCTGGTTACGGGCGCTTATATTATAACATTAACAATGACAGTGCAACCCGACCAATTACAAATGCTGGATCTAGTGGTTGACGGTGTCTACATTAACTATACAGTAAACTCCGCTTATAACGAACTCATTGGGACATTTGAAATCTGTTCCTTATATCCGGAGTTCCTTGTAAGCATATAGCGAATTTGTTCCTTGTATAAGGAGTTTTTATAGCGAACAGATTTGCATATAGCGAACTGATTGTTTACCATCGCCCTCCATTTTGAAAAGCAGTTGTTTTAGAAAAATTAGTCACTTATATCTTTTTTAGACACGCTGTAACCGTATATTTTTATATTAAATAAAGAAGGGCAAAATTCGGGCCGAAAAAATTGTTCCTTAAAACCGGAAGTTCGCTATAACCGTGTACGCTATAAGTGAAGTTCACTGTATATCTGCCGGCCAAGGAAGCACTCGTAATTACGTATCTACAACTAAACAATGGATTCTTGAACTAGTTACCGGATCAGAAGTGTGGGTGAGGAAGTCTGGTGGCACAACTGCAGGTCGAAATCTCCACGGAAATATGAACACTATCATTTCCTGCTTTCTTTTATTTCAAACGTCGCAAATTTAAGGAGTAAAGTGATAAAACTACGAGTCTTTTCTTGAAATAACAAAAGAAAATTTGAATCATAAAATCATATTTATTATGTCATTTTACAACCGCCTCCGTGGTCGAGGGGTTAGAGTCGATGACTTCTAATTCAGGTACCTCTCTGGCATGGGTTCGATCCCCGGGAGATGCTTTGGTAGTTTAGCGCGGAGGAAGGTAGTCTAGTACTGGTGTAACTCTCCAGGAACGATGGTTAGGAAACTACCCGCCTATATGACTGAAATACTGTTGGAAAAAGGCGTAAAATTAAACAAACAAACAAAACAAAACAAAATGTCATTTTACTATTGGTTGTTTACTTAAGCATAATAAACATCCCCTGTGTTTAATTTATATTGTCGTTAATGTATTTAAATTCATTTTATTTTGCTCAACCTATTGTTTCAACAGCCTAAAAAGCTGTTTATTCGGACGTGGCACTATTTTACTTTGGGACATACGCTACATTTATGGAATGGCGTATAAGTTCGAAAATGAAAGTTCAATTGTGACTTCTGTATTGAACATATTAGCGGTTGTTTCTTAACTCAAAGTTTTAACATAATCATATAAATATGAAACAATCTGCGTAAGCCGGCGTTCCTGGGCGTGGTCGGTAACCTGTTTAAAACGCAATATAGGCTGGTCAAGGAAGAACTCGCGATAACGCATCTACATCCAAATAATATCTCGTTGAACTGCAAACCGATTAAGAAATATGTGCAGTGTATAGAATCATGATCTCCATGGAAATAAGAATACCATCATATCTTGATTTATTTTATTAAAGACCTTTATCCTCAAAAGAAAAATGATTAAACTATGTGTCATTTTCTACACACCAAAAAGAAAAAAAATCACATTAATTATTTTTTAGAAAGTCATTCTGTTATGTTACTTTTGAAATACACTTATTCATTCAAACATCATGTATCGTTAGCTGATATTGTATTGCGTATATTGTAATTACAATTTATTTTGTTCCTTAATGTTTCGTTTAGGACTGACAAATTGCTAAATTTTGGGACTATACGTAACGTTTTATGAAATGGAAACATAGTTAAGGTGCCATGACTAGTGTGTGATAAAAAATTATCTCTTTGTCTATTACTCTGTGGAAATTGCACGGTGACATATTATCAATCATAATTGTTTTTCAAAATTGACTCTGTAAGGGCATAACTGGTGACTTGTCCGGGGTTCAAACTCGACAGCGAAAACTGCATTTTGTGCTTGATCCTCATTAAGTATAAACTGTTTACTTTAAGAGTACATCTTCCGTTGTTTCAAAATTTCAAGATTTTCATGAACAAATGTTAAAATCTACTTAAAGGTATCTGGCCAAGGATAGGCATGTTTTTTTTCTGTTTTAATAGATTTTGATACGTAAATTACAATAAAATGTGTTCTAAAATTTTCTTATATGAAATCAACAACATCAACAGGAACAACAGCAACAACAACAACAAAAAAAAACCCAAGATAAAGAAAGTAGATTTTTCCGTTACGCGTTACTAATAATAGGCAATTTCCATCACAACCTAGGAATATTCCACCTACATCTGTTGACTTTATTTATGTGTAAATATTTCTCAAAAATACATCAAAAATTTATTGTATTGTGTTATTTAGCGTGCTTTACAAGTTTTTATCGTAATCGAACATTTTTAAATAAAATTGAACATTGTTTTTGATGTTTTAATTAGGGGTTAGGACGATAGTTAGAACTTGCCGTTAATTTCAATTGAAAGGTTCAATTAAACCGAGCATGCATCAATTTACGTGTAGGGCGTCCTGCATAGATTCTTCGTTTGACCATTTTTACTTTTAGACATTGACAAAATGTTTGATTATAAAAAAATCATATATGTTTATTTGTTTCCAAATGAGGTATAATTTAATTTTCTTGTGAAACATCAAAAAATGTTATGATAATACAATATTTTGTTTTCATGACATTTAACAATATGAATTTATTGTAAGTATTTGGATCCTTATCAATTTAATTATTTCATTTTTAAACTAAAGCTATATGCACATTAAGTGAACAAAAGATACAGCGCCTTCTGGGTGCCCAAGAATTTCTGAAAACATACAAAAACTGTGAGTTGTTTCTAACTTATTGATAGGTGATAAAACTTAGGTGCATATGTTAAAGCGACAAAAGTTCCTTGGTGGTGCAGTAGATAGAGTTGCCATTTCAGTGTTGTATTAATGCATTAACATGCTCAAATTATAGTTGGGTTCTATAACATTTGCGCGTTTTAGTATCATTTTCTTATTTGACGGGTTTTGTTTCAAATAGTTACAAATGCATGAGATAGAATATTTATATTTTTGTACAAGGGTTGATAAGCAAAGTGTAAAGTTTTAGAAACACGTCAACCACTAGGAAAAAGCATTATAAAAAAGTTTAAATATAATAAATTATAATGAAATAAAGTGTTATATATTGATCCATATGAGATATATAGATTATTAATATTTCGTAATCGAAGTGTGTTTTAAATAGTTTGACTTTTAATCTAAAATGTTAAAAAAATTAATAACTTGACACGTAGTTGTTTTCTGCGTGAAGTGGGAAACAAAAATGAAATGGAAAAGAAACAAAACCAAGAAGAACATGATATATTCCATTGATCATACAAACGACAGACAAAGCAAATAAAAAATGGAGAGAAAAACAAACAATTACAACATCATAATAACATTACAGAGCGTAGGGCTCGAACCTATGAGTTCAAATCAATAAAAGTTACAGTGACGTTGATTTACTAACTTAGCCACTACTATCGTTCACAGTCTTATTGACACAGTCTCTATATTCTAGTTCATGAAAATATTTTGATGAATAGTTTTTATATGCGTATTTAAATTTGACTCAAGACTTGTATAAATGTATAAATTTTCATGATATCGAAAGGACAGAAAAAACTGACCTGTCGGCCAACACGGCAAACAATTACAGCTATTCTTTCGGACGGACATTTCAATCAAGAAAGCGAGCTTCTAAACTTCATCGCCAAAGAAATATACTACTAAGTAAATACAATTACGTAAATCCGAATGTCTTACTCGGCTACATTCATGGCAATAACACAGTAGACTTATTTGGTTCCCTGACTACATTTACAACGGAAAGTAGTGTAAAGGGAATGTATGCAATGAAATTATTTTGACAAATTGCTTACTGTAGCGAAAATCATTGCCATGAATTATTGCTAAATATAAGTTAATGTACTTGTATGTGTGATAACGTCATGAGTTCAAAAGGCATATATCTAAATTCATATTATTGTTTAACACAATAAACCATTTTTTAATGCTGGTACGAAAGAATTTTATTTGAAATTTACTGAACTGTATAAATTGAATGAAAATTAAAATTAATTTACATATTTTTATTTGTTATGGCCATTAATAATAAACTGTTAAACATATATAGATTTTTTTACTATAATCTATTTACCAGGATTATTCAGATAAAAGCGGGACTATTCTCCTGCGGTTGAATAATATTTGGCTAAGATAAAAAACATAAATTTTGATTAAATTTGACCGTTATTAAACCCAGAAACGTTCTTGTGCCCAGACTATTACATATAGTCAAATATAATTGAAGGATATAGGATGACAATAATAAGACAAACACTCAGTCATACCGACAGATCTAAGTATTTTATTGTATTATGTTTTCTTTAATTTCGTAACACACACTTCTAGAAATAGAGAAATAAATTGTTATTACATCAAAAACTTTACATACATTTTTTACCTACATAACAAAGTACCAATGAACCCATTTTTGTGTGAAACAAAAAAAATTAAAAAATTATACGAAATCTAAATCTTTTTAAATGCTGAATATATAAATAGATAACAAGCCTATTATTTTCATGCTTAAACAAATATTTCACAATTTTTGAACTAACTTATAGACACCAAACTTCTTATCATGATAATGGTAACACATTAACATTTGACACGTCAGCAGATCCTTTTTAAAGATTCATTATCAGTAATTCCTCACTTTCAGTTTTTTTTATTCCAAAATTGTGTTAACTTTTAATTCGAGATGAGGATTTCTTACATATTGTGCATATGTTTTATTTCAATAACTGTTTTTGGAGAAGAATTACACGGAAATCAAAATCTTCACTTAATTTTGAAAGAAATGGATTCGATGAAAAAAATGCTCCAACATAATAGCGAAAAGTTGATAGAGATCGATTATCTGAGGGAACGTACACTGGCATTGGAACGTGAGGTTGAGGGATTAAAACATCAAAATCACAATCTTAATCAAAAGGTTGAAACCCTGGAAAGACGATGTGCGGAGCACTCTGTAGAGGTAATCATACTGACTTATTTCTGGTTTATTAAAATTAGAATTCCTAACATTACACTACTGCAGTAGTCTGTCTGAACACATACATGTACTGTTTAGATCATGTACTGTATTGCGGCCAAGTAACTTTTTAAAAGATCTTTCTTGTTTATATTTCTGTCAAATTTGGCATATTAAAAATTGTTGGTAATGCCCCGTGCGGTGATAATATCATAAATATATTTTTTTCTCTAAAGTTTATTTAATTTAAAGCATTAATTATTATTTTCTTGAACAGTTTTTACATCTAATAATTGCATTGGCCTTAAAAAAGTCTCAACACCGACTATAAAGTCTAACTGTTTATTATTTTAGGATGTCGAAGGAACATTAAAATCTGACACGACCGTCAACACGACAAACAATCAAAAGTATGCTTACGAACAGACATTTGAACTAAAGAAACGGACTTCTCATTTTAATCGTCGGAGAAGTATGATATCAAGTAAATACAGCTTCGTAATTCCCTAAAGCATATCCCTTACGGGAAACCTTAATATCCGGCTGTGATAAAAAATCCGACAAGAAAAAAGTATACTAATTTCATAAAGGAGACTATTCAGTTTGCCTTTAGACGGTAGCATGTGTTTCTTTCGTTAATATATCATCTTGTTTTTGACACTGGGCTTTATTCAACCATTCCCCTTAAAGCATCAACAGGGATGTTATCTATAATATAATTTATTTCAACTAGATAATATATTTCAAATATGTTACTCTACAGGATCTAATAATGTAACGGCACAATAATTAGATTGTCTCAAATACCGGCAATATAAATTATGAAACTTTTTTATGGTCACTCAGTTTTATTAATATTTAATAACCAAGACTGTCTCCGAGACTACAATTGAATTGTTTTCAATTTCAGGACAAACATCTCTTCAATCAAACATAGCATTTACCGCAGGAGTATCGGCTTATAATCTTCATAATTTAGGCAATCATCAAACTATCATATTCGATCATGTTATCACAAACATTGGCAATGCTTACCATCCACATACTGGGATCTTTAATGCCCCGGTTAAAGGCGCTTATGTTATAACATTAACAATGACAGTGGAACCTGACGGAGTTCAATGGCTGGATATAGTGGAATTGACGGAGCTGCAATAAACTATATATCAGCCGGCACAGGAAGCGCTTTGGATTACGCATCTACAACCAAGCAATGGATTCTAGAACTAGACACTGGGTCCGAAGTGTGGTTCAGGAAGACTAGCAATATCAAATATATCAAATATCAGGATCTCCATGGAAATATGAATACTATCATGTCTGGATTCCTTTTATTTCGAACATAAACACTTTTGTCTGATTAAAATAGCAGTCCATCTTTTCAAACGATAAAAAGGAAATAAATACATTAAATTACGTTAGATTTCTTATGGCATTTTTTTGTTATTACACTATAGGTAGTAATTTGTAGTTTAAGAATCGCCATGCATTTTAGCTAAAAAACTGTGCTACATACCTAATTATGTGACTGATAACACAAACAATAAGGATATAGAAGTTAAGGGATGCTTTTGATGAATACACGCTGTCAAAGAATACAAATAAAATTATCACATATAAACAAAATATACTTAAAATGCAAAGTAACATTGTCCATCGAAAATCAAACCTTGTCTGTCGAAAATCACAAGGCTTGGAGCTAGACGCCGAACCCTGATTGTAACTTGCATAACTGATGTCGTAACTCCTTTATGTGGTGGATAGTGGCTTCAACTGAACATTGAAATGTTGATGATTTAATCAACTTAGCGAATGATCATTTGGATCTTAAAAATTAAAGAAAGTATTGTCAGTACATTCCCCAATTCGTTTATCAGGTTTTAGAAAATTGTTTGAAGCACTGTAATATTTCCCCCGGCACTTTACTTCTCCTTCTTATTATCTAGTCAGAGGTTAAAGGTAAATGTAAGGACATTAAATACATTTGATAAAAAGGCATTGGGAAAACTGCTAAACTGTCTAGTCTTTCATTGGTATTATTGGTATAACCTTACCTGTAGAAAACCCCCAAAACATTATATTTAGAATTGATGATTATTAAAATATTTTCAAATACATGTGAGCCCAGCATGTCATAAGAATGGGAAAAGGAGCCACATTTGTTAAATTATCACTCTACAATAATGGTAAGTAATGAACGTCATGTAAACACATGAATATTAAGATTTAAAGATTATTTATTTTAAAATTCCATTATGCCATAGAAATGTTTTTTACTTATACTGCAAAATCTGTTTATTTTGAGTGTCTTGTTACAGTTTTAAAAAAGTTACTTTTTGCCAATAATCTGTACCATATTTGCTTTTATTGCTTATTAGGCAAAAAGTACAGTTTTAGTTATTAAGTATTTTTCTTGTAGTCAAAATATTACCTTTTCTACCTAAATGACCAAAAACTTCAAATTCTTTCCTTTCTTCTTGTGAAAACATCTAAAATACTCTAGAATAATTATTTTAATGTTATTAAACACATGTGTGCCCTTTCTTAAGATGGTAAAAATAATTCGCTCCTGCGACATTATGTGCCTTTGATTAGAAATGACGTGAGCAGAATGTGTGCTTTAGAGATGGTAAAGATATAACAGATTGTTCAGTCTCTAATGATTGCAACAAAATGTTACATGTACTTTCACATCATATTTCAGTACAATGTAAGCTAACATATCGCTAAATTATCGAAATCGCACTTATAAAGCATTTATTTTTGTTGTAATTGTATATTGTTCATTCTTTACAATTAATAATAATAATAATAATAATAATAATAATAATAATAATAATAATAATTGGCTGTGGAATGATATAAACCGTACAAGAACAAAATATATTATGTTAAGTAATTCTTAGCTGAATGATTTTTAAACCATAACTAGTAGATTTTTGCAAAGTAACTAGGCCTTATACAAAAGTGCCATGTGACAAAAACAACAATCACAACAAAATTTGTTTGTTTGTTTCATTTTACGCCTTTTCCCAACAGTATTTCAATCATATAGTCGGGTAGTTTCCTAACCATCGTTCCTGGAGAGTCACGCCAGTACTAGATTTCCTTCCTCCGCGCTAAACTACCAAAACATCTCCGGAAGATCGAACCCACGCCAGAGAGGTAACTTGATAAGAAGTCATCGACTCTAACCCCTCGACCACGGAGGCGGTTACAACAGTAAAATAAAAAGATATTTAAAAAAAAAGGAAAAAAGAGTAAAAACGTTGCTGGTTCTCTGTCGTGTCTGCTGCCTTGTCTAGTAAATGTTTTATTAAAAAGATTAAACAAGCCCAATAGACGACCCGTCGTTCTGGTATGGTGGCAATCGTGCTTAATATTAAATTTTTAACCCAAAAAAATGCCCAAATATGGACAATTATGTTCCCCTTTTAAAATTAGAATAGCCCTTGCAGCTAACATTTCTTAACCCAACAAATTGATTAGCCTTTTTAACCCGGGGGAAAGGAAATTATCCCCATTTAAAATTTCCCGTTTTTTAAAAATTGAAAGTTTTTAAAATCATTTTTTGTAAACTTTTCGAATTTAAACAAAATGCTTATATAAAAAATTATTGTTAAAACCCCAAAACTTTTTTTTAGGGGGAATCAAAAAAAAAGAAAAATTTTTGTTGTCATTTCGATGAAAATTTTTTTTCCAATCTATCAAATCCACCCCCCGTCTACCCAGCCCCGGCCACCCCACCAAAGTCATCCTTTCATCCATCCCCGGGTTAAAAATTTTTAACATAAACAGTTTATCAACCGGGGGGTTAACCGAGATGTTTTATCCCATGAAAATAAAAGGAGAAATTTTTTTATTTTTAACCAAAAATTTTTGAAAGTTAATTTTTCCAATGAACCATTTTGGGTTTTACTTTTAAACAAACAAAATTTGTTGTCATGTTAAAGAGATTGATTTTTTTTTGGTAAAGAGTGTCATTTATTTTTTTCTTTTTTAAAGGGACTTTACCGAAAAGATTCATTGAAACAGTGCTTATCTTTTAATTTCAATTTTTTGGAGTGATTTAACTTGGGGGTTTTAATGTGGAAATGGTACGAATAAATATTTTTTCAAAACGAAAAAAAAATTTGGGTTTAAAAGGTCTTTTAAATAAAAATAAAAAACCCCAGAATTGCTTTTCAACCCAAAATAGGGAAATAAAAAAAAAGAAAGCTTTCTTCAGGTTGCCAAAAACACTCTAATTAACCGAAAGTAAAAATATTTCCCATAACATAGAATTAAATGATGATTAAACGGGGACCTTTACTTTCCAAGGCCCAAACCAAGTAAACATTTTTCCGGGGGGTTTTCCACATGGAATTTCCCAAATACTTAATGTATAAACCCACCAAAAAACCACCCAAAAACGTTATAAAAACTTTCGAAAATTAATAAAAATAATACTTTTTTTCCACGTTACGTCCATAATGGAAATTCCGAAATTGTTTCCCCTTCAAACCATCCCAAAAACACTATGGGTTTTTTTTTTCGTTTAAAAATAAGAAAAATAAAAACAAAAAAACCCTCTCTAAACCGAGCACATAAAATTAGGCAAAATCTATTTTTGCAATTAAATACATAAAAAAAATGCCTTTAAAAGGGCCCGGGCCCCGGGAAAACATTACTAATACTTTAAAAACGAAATATCTTTAAGAGTACACCACGCCACAACTGTATCTTTGAGACTTATATTGTGCAAAAATGACCATCCAAAAGTTTACAAAATCGAATCCGCATTGGAATCAGACAAATGGCGTTTAAACGGTTGGCTCAGGAGAATGGTATTTTTATACATTTTATAAACAGTAAGAACACGTCGCCTGAACAAAAAAAACAACGACCATGCCACGCGGAAAGCTCTCGGATATATTTCTTAGTTTAGGGCTTTTGCCCTTATATTGTGCAAAGAAGACCATATAAAGGTGAACAAATTTGAATCAGACAAAAAGTGTTTAAACGGCTGACTCTGGAAAATGATGTATATCCCCTTATTTTATACAATTTATATACAGAAAGAACAACGGTCCAAAAAATGGCCATACGGATATCTCTTGAACATTTCCCTTCCAAACAAATGACCATGCCATGCGGAAATCTGCCGGACATATATCTTGGGTTAGACCTTTGGGCTTTATATTGTGCAAAGAACACCCTCCGTACTTGTACAAAATCGAATCCGCATTTGAATCAGACAAATGGTGTTTAAACGGTTGGCTCGAGAAAAGGGCGTATTTTTACGAAAATTTATACAAGTTTCATACAGATGTTACAAATCGCCAGTCAAAAAAGCGACAATTTTACCCGGACATATTGTTGGGTTAGAGATTTGGGCGTTATATTGTGCAAAGAAGACCATCTAAAGGTGTACAAAATCGAATAAGCATTGGAATCAGACAAATGGCGTTGAAACGATTGGCTCAGGAAGACGGTGTTTTTTTTATAAATTTATTACAATTTAATTTAATTTAATATTGTGCCAAGAAGACCCTCCATACTAATACAAAATCTAATTCGCAACAGAATGAGACAAAAGGTATTTTAACGGTTGGCTCGAGGAAATGGTTCTTTTTCGAAAGATTATTTAATCTATATACAGAAAGAAGAAATCGCCAGGCATAAATACTACTATTTCATGTGGTTCTCTTACGTTGGAGCTTTAAGCCTTATATTGCTGTGTAAACGATCCTCAAACATATTACAATCTACGGGATCTTACAGAGATTTTAAGTTTCATGACCTATGGAAAATATTTTTATAAAGATAATACAATTCCTTTGATTATCATAATAGTGTCGTTTGTTACGCAGCAGTAATGTTTTCAATGCTATTTTCTTCTTTTGTTGTGATTTGGTTTTGTTTTTGTTTAGTTTTAACAAGAAGAATGTATTGATCAGAGACAGTTAAACTTACCTTGCTGACATCGAATTCAAACCCTACTTGTTTCGAGGTAGCCCAGGGCCAATTTTTAAAAAATTTTATGTACCTATTAACAATTTCCAAAAAATAAAATTAAACATTTTGGGAATCCCAACCCAAATTGCCCGGTTCCCCCTTTTGGGAAACCCTTTTCTTTTTCCAAAAGGGGAAGGTAACCTTTGGGGTTAAATTATAGACATCGGGGGGAAGGGTTACACGAAGCTCGAATAGATGTGACTTTAAATGCGAGGGGGGCCATCCCGGAAAATGGATAATTTAAATAAGAAAAAAAAACAGACCTTTAACTTTTTTTAATACTCGAAACTCTTACCAAAAATTTTAGCGTAAAAAGATTTTTGGCGAAATTCTTTATTTTTAACAAAAAACAAACCACATGCTTTTTTTTTAGAATCGGGTAAAGTTGACAAAGAT